TCCCAAATGATGCCCCTGGCAGCGTTTTGTGATCATGAGGCTCTCAAGAGATACATGTTGGGGGCGCCAAACGGCAATTCTAGCTGAGACGTCCCACCAAAATCGGCGCGAACGGGCTCGTGAGATCAGCCAGGGTGGCTCCCCTTTGGGGCTCCCAAATGATGCCCCTGGCAGCGTTTTGCGACCATGAGGCTCTCAAGAGAGACATGGTGGGGAGGCCAAACGGCAATTTTAGCTGAGACGTCCCACCAAAATCGGCGCGAACGGGCTCGTGATATCAGCCAGGGTGGCTCCCCCTTGGGGCTCCCAAATGATGCCCCTGGCAGCGTTTGGTGATCATGAGAGAGTGTGAGTGAAATCTCTTATCTTGTCTTAGCTTATCTTATATCAACTCATCTTATCGCATCATATCTTGTCTTATCTTATTACTCCATAGGCTGTCTTATCTTATCTATTATCCTACCTTGTCATATATCTTATCTTACCTTTTCATGTCTTGTGATATCTTATCTTATCTTATAGTATCTTATACTGTCTTGTCTTATCTGGTGATTATCATTGGGAGGAGGGAGGCGCGAGCGGGAGGAAGGAGGAGCAGTGGGAGGCGTCAGAGTAATAACAAGAACCCCAATCCTTAGGATATGGGGAAAAAGAATCGCCATCCATTTGTGAAGCGCTTGCAAATTTTGAAACGACTGCACGCGGCGCTAAGGCGAGAGCCACATGTTGAAAACGGCCCGCCCTTAATACGTGGAACTGTTGCAAATGTTCAAAACGAATGTGCGCGGCGCTAAGGCGAGAGCCACATTTTCAAAACGACTCGCCCTCCATCTGTGAAACTTCTGCATGTTTTACGAATGCGCGCGGCATTAAGGCGAGAGCCATAGTTTGAAAACAACTCGCCCTGCATCTGCTTTAAACGAATGTGCGCGACGCTACGGCGAGAGCCACATTTTGAAAACGACTCGCCCTCCATCTGGTAAACTCTTTCACGTGTTTAAAACGAATGCGCGCGGCGCTAAGGTGAGAGCCATATTTTGAAAACGACTTGCCCTCCATCTGCGAAGCTCTTGGCAATTTTCAAAGGACTGCGCGGGGCGCAAAGGCGAGAGCCACATGCTGAAGACCACACGCCCTCCACATGTGAAGCTGTGGCGAACTTTTAAGATTCGGGCTCACAGTTGGATGGTGAGGAAGTCTCAGGCGAAACGCCAAGCCCGGCCAAAAACTGGCCTCGGGGAGCAGCAGGGATGCACAAGGGAAAAGGAAGGGAGGAGGAGGCGGAGCGCGCCGGGGGCGGCGCCAGAGGCGACGCCAGGGGCCTCCCAGCGCCGATCCGAGAAGTCTGGGCGGAGCTCCAAGAGCTCGTGCTTGTGCCATGAGGTGTCCCTCGATCCTATCTCCACGCAGTCGAACCGCATACGGTAGGTTTGCGTCGTGTCGACCAGCGGCGACCCCAGCGCGGGCGTTCAAGGTTGAACGCCGCCGGCGACCCAGAATCGGTCGATGTTGAACGATCGGACGTTGCGGCAGCGGCCGATCGTTCAAGGTTGAACGACCCAGCGCGGTGTCGGGAACCAACGCTGGGGTCGACACGACACGAACCTGCCGTAGTAAGGATGGGCAACTTTCCAAGGCTGCCCTTGAAGCGTCCTCGCCCCATCGGCCCATCCCTGGCGGCTTCCGCTGGCCAGCCCCATCCGAAGACGCTCACACAGACCTCCAGGGCCCTTGCATCCGTACCGCGCATCCCTATTATGCGACGTTGATTATATCTCCTTTGTTCCCCTTCCTCGTCGTCGTCGCTGGTGCCGTCGGCGGCGCTGCAGCGCTGCGCCGTGTCGCAGCCGGCGCCGGTTGACGGGACCCGGTCCTTCCGCTGGGCGCCGAGGTTCTGGCCGGTGGCGCTCATGACGTGGGCGCGTCCGGGGGGGGAGTCGCCACGAAGGAAACGAGTCTTGAGCGAAGCAGGTCCTGACCCAGACACGCTCGCGTCGCGACAAAAATCAGGACGGGAGGTTTGTCGTAGGTTTCGGCCTCTCGAGGCCCTCACCGGGCCCCAGGACCGGCCAAACACGATTCAGGATAAAAAATGGGTCCCAGGGGAGGGATCGGGACTTCTCGGGACAGCGTATTTCGGGGGCGGCCAAGAGGGGGGTGATGACTAGGGGAGGGGGGAATTCATGGCGGGGGCCATGATGTTGCCTCAGGTTTCATGGCGCCTCTTCTCATTTCATTACGTCCCTGGCCCCGCCTCTGGGCCGCGCACACAGCCGCTTGCCATGCGTTGCGCCCCCCCCCCCCCCCCCCCCCCCCCCCCCCCCCCGCCTCTTGGACGCCCCCCCCTCGGCCGCCCCCGAGCATGGAAAGCATGTCGCACGCCTGGGAACGGGTCCCGAGTGGAACGAGTCCTGCGGTCGGTTTCTCGCCGTGTTCGGCCTCTCGGGGCCCTCCGCGGCCCTGGGGGCCGTCAGAGAGCGACGCGGGCCGGGAGGGAGGCCTGGTCCCGGGGGGAGGCCCCAGGACGCAGGACCCGTTGCCCTCTCGGGGGCGGCCAAGAGGGGGGTGATGACTAGCGGGGGGGGGGGGGATCTCATGGCGGGGGCCATGAGAGTTCCCCTGATTTCATGGCGCCTCTTCTTATTCTGTTACGTCCCTGGTCCCCCCGCTGGGCCGCGCACATGCCGCCGGCCATGCGTTGCACCCCCCCCACCTCTTGGACACCCCCCTCTTGGCCGCTCCCGACCCTCAGGACCCGTTTCTTACATGCTAATGTGCGGGGGGGGGGTCGCAATTCTTTCGCGAAGGCGCATCTCTTCCGCCCCGAAATCCTGGCGTCGCCATGCTCTTGCGCCGGGCGTTTTCGCTGTGCTTCGGGCCCCGGGACCATCGTGCCGACCCGCCCCGAAGAGTGCCGCAGGAAAAAAGTGCCGGAAAGTGTCGTGATCGTTCGCGATGCTGCAGTGTTTCGCGCAACGTCGGATTTCAGGGTGTCCAGGCCCCCCGAGTCGTGCAAACTTCACGATGGTAGCTTTCCAGCCATTTTCGGACTCCATGGGGCCCCTGCCGGGCCCCGGGGCCGTCAAGGAGAGCAGTTCGGAATGAGAGGCCGGTGGCGGGGAAGGGGTCGAGACCTCCGAGGCTCCAAGCCGCGAAAACGCAGGACTGCAGGGGTCCGGGCTTCCTGCTTCCCCTTTCTTTCGGCCGCGCGCGAGTGACCCTTGCTTGCCTGGGTGGCGTTTGGTGCGCGGCGTTCGAGGAGCGTTGGAGGGGTGGGGAGGAGGAGGAGGAGGAGGAGGAGGAGGAGGAGGAGGAGGAGGAGGAGGAGGAGGAGGAGGGGGGAGGGAGGGGGGAGGAGTGAGGGGGAGGAGGAGGAGGTAGGAGGAGGAGGGGAGGAGGGAGGAGGAGAGGAGGAGGAGGAGGAGGAGGAGGAGGAGGAGGAGGAGGGAGGAGAAGGATGAAGGAGAAGGAGAGGGAGAAGGAGAAGGAGGAGGAGGAGGAGGGGGAGGAGGAGGAGGAGGGGGGGGGGAAGAGGAGGAGGGGAGGAGGAAGGAGGAGGAGGAGGAGGAGGAGAGGAGGAGGAGGAGGAGAAGGAGGAGGAGGAGGAGGAGGACGGGGAGGAGGAGGGGGAGGAAGAGGGGGAGGAGGAGGAGGAGGAGGAGGAGAAGCAGAAGAAGAAGAAAAAGGAGAAGAAGGAGAAGAAGGAGGAGAAGAAGAAGAAGGAGGAGGAGGAGGAGGAGGAGGGAGGTAAAGGTGGAGGAGGGAAGAGGAGGAGGAGGAGGAGCTCCGTAGCCAGGGTTGCTCCAGCCGTGGCCCGAAGCCTTCCTGAATCGCAGGGGGTACTCGGTCAGAGCTCGAGGTGCCGCAGCGGCGTCACGCGGCCTTACCTGCTTCACTCCCGGCGTGGCCGTGCGCCTCGTCGGCATGAAAGCGCGCCCGCGATTTCACGGGCGGGAAGGAACATTCGGGGCCTACGACAAGGAAGGCGACCGCTGGGTATTCAACGCAGGGTCGGAGTACACCCGGGTAAGTGTAGCCGGCCTGGAGCTCGTCGGTCTGATGACCAAGCAGGCGCTCGGATTTGCGTTCCGGCTGGCAGCTCACAAGGACAACTATCAGGACCCGGTGGTCATCGACATGGAGTTCCAAGAAGGTACGACCTGGCAGGCACCGAAGAGCAGCCAGGCGTAGCCGCCTACTTCGAGCTGATCCTCGGCGTCGAGGCGGCTTTCCAGGCGAAGACACCAGGCGAGGCCGGCCGGCCTGAAGCCAGCGAAAATTACGACGTCCATGGCCGGGGCAACGACGGCCATGAGCGGCACCTCCCACGACAACTACTGACACCTGCGACGGCGAAACTGCGTATACCCCCCTCGCGCCGCAACGGACCGCTAACAGTACTCCGTCCTCCGCTGCCCCACCCCGTTCAACTGCAAGCAGCGTTTTGGGTGGCGCCCGTGGGGCAGGGCATCCTAAGCGGCCCGGTCGCTCCACATCTCCCTTCACCTCGGCGACTACAAAGGGTGTGGTTGCGCCGGAGTGTCGTTTGCGACCGGCGCCGTTAGGGCCTGAAGGACACGACGCTATCCTGGCCGGGTTTCCACGGGGCGCGGCGGGGAGTTCTATCGAGGTCCACGCCCGCCCCCCAGGGCGCCCACCGGGGTGCCAGTTGCAAACCACATTCTGTGCAAACCGCACCATTCGGAATCGCTTGTCCCCGTCATCTGTCAGGGGACGGCATCTGTGTCTAGTAGTAGTAGTAGTAGTAGTAGTAGTAGTAGTCGTCGTAGTAGTAGTAGGAGTAGTAGTAGTAGTAGTAGTAGTAGTAGCAGTAGTCGTAGTCGTAGTCGTAGTCGTAGTCGTAGTCGTAGTCGTAGTCGTAGTCGTAGTCGCAGTCGCAGTCGTAGTCGTAGTCGTAGTCGTAGTCGTAGTCGTAGTCGTAGTCGTAGTCGTAGTCGTAGTCGTAGTCGTAGTCGTAGTCGTAGTCGTAGTCGTAGTCG